ACTCAGCCATGGGGAAAAATGTTAAATTATGATCAGTTCACTCAACTAAATATTATGAAGTAATTAAGCATGACAATTAGGAAGTCTACATAACAAGATAGAAATTTTATTCATGTACTGTTAAGTACAAAAAGAGAAAATTATAAAATTGTGTTTTCACAATAGTTAGCACTGTGTAAAATTACATATGCATGTGGGTAAGACAAGCAGGCAATGAAAAAACCAAAACAACTTGATTTGTCAAGATGCTTAAAATATGGGTGTGTTTTTTCTTTTATTCTGATAACTGGTAATGCATTTATAATGCTCTTTATGCATAAAATTAAACTTTTTCCTGAAATGGTATTAGTTATGAGTTAGATTAGGTGATTATCAAATCAAAGTAATTTATGGGGCATTACTTTCCCAGTAGGTATTTATGGTTTTTTTTTTTTTTTTTTTTTTTGGTTTTTGTGCTTTTCTTTTTTTTTTCACAGGCTCCAGAGGCGCGGGCTCAGCGGCCATGGCTCACGGGCCCGGCCGCTCCGCGGCATGTGGGATCCACCTGGACCAGGGCACGCACCTGTGTCCCCTGCATTGGCAGGCGGACTCTCAACCACCGCGCCACCAGGGAAGCCCCGGTATTTATGTTTTTAAAAGGAGTTTCAAATTGATAGAAAGCATGGGGCTTTGTATTTGTTCAGGGAGACCTTTCCTTTCTGTTTTTACTTCCTGGAAAAAAAAGAGTTTTGGGTCATTGGGGCAGAAATAAGACTCAAAGATAATTAATTTGCCTGGACTACTTCAGTGAAGATTCAGTAATGCAGGAAAAAACCAAAGTTTTAAGTTCTCAGTGCACCCAGTAAGACTTTTCAAGCCAGACACTTTCTAATGGTCAGGAAAACAGAAGTAACTTTTTAGATATTTTAAGCAGAAGGGGATTTAGTCCAGGGAATTCGATGTTTGCTGTACAGTTGAAAATGGCTGAGGAGCAAAAGTGAGGGAAAGCCACAGCTGCCTCTGAGACTTACTTCTAGGACTCAGAGGCAGGAAATCACAGAAGCCGGAGGAAGACTAGTGATGATCACAGCTGGCTGCAGCCCCAGCACTGGTGATTCCCAGGGGAAAGTCTGGACCTTTGAAGCACCTCACATCTGCTAAAGCCACACGTCTGTTCATCAGTGCCAGAGGAGCAATACCATAGCCTCCACCTATTTTCCGCATTCCAAATCTTGTTCAAGCACCTCTGAGTAGTGCAATCTAGCACAGAACCCTGGCAAGGGATTCTGGAATATTCTAGTACTCAGGCTTCCATCCATCACAGTACAGGGGAGAGTAGATAAGATGGGGAATGGTGTTGAGCTGCCAATAAACAATCTAGCACAACTGCCCTGACAGTAGAACTTATTTCCAACTTCGCCAACCTATCCAACCCAAGAGTAGTTCAAAGAAACGTTGATTGACATTCAGGACCTTAAAATAAAAGCCCTTTGCTTAGATCCAGCTCTAGGACGGGAAATATAGCATACCCTCCCATTCTCTTCCTTTCCTAGTAGTGCAAGGGCAAACTTATAGTTGGGACTCCCATAGCTGTTGGATCTTCTCATGCAGAAAAGAGTAAATTCAAAGGCAGATGTTCTTTCCTGGATCCATCTTGGCTGGCTGGTCACAATGGGGGTCACTTACATAAGTGACTCGGGACTTGAATGGAAAAGCAGGGTTCCATCTGAACCATTGTCTCTCAGGCAGTTGGAAGATGCCAACCACAATGACCCCACTCCTGGCTTAATTAGACCAATTGGCCATTCCTTTGAACCTGCACTTTTAAAATCAGAGATGGGACTTGGGGTGTGTGTCAGGTTAGTATAGTCCAGGTTGTGCTCAGTGATAAGGGTCACTGCCCCAAATTGTCAGCTTAGCTTTGATTCTTTCTTAGAAGCACTCAGATGCTTTATCAATAAAAATAAAACAATACTGGGACTTCCCTAGTGGCACACTGTTTAAGAATCTGCCTGCCAATGCAGAGGACATGGGTTTGATCCCTGGTCCGGGAAGATCCCACATGTCTTGGAGCAACTAAGCCCGTGTGCCACAACTACTAAACCTGCACTCTAGAGCCTGCGAGCCACAACTACTGAGCCCATGTGCCACAACTACTGAAGCCCGCACACCTAGAGCCCATGCTTCCCAACAAGAGAAGCCACCGCAATGAGAAGCCCGCACACTGCAAGAAGAGTAGTCCCTACTCGAAGCAACTAGAGAAAGCCCGCATGCAGCAACAAAGACCCAACACAGCCATAAATAAATAAATGTAAATAAATAAAATAAAACAATACCATTATAGCTCATATTCCTGAGAGCTTACCTGTACCAGGTGCAGTGCTAAGCATTTTACATGTGTTGTATCACATTAACTTTGGAAACAACCTTAAGATAGACATATCGTTATACCTGTTTGAGAAAATGGAGATCTTAGTAATTTGCTCAAGATTCTGCAGCAAGTAGTGGAAGAGCCACTTTGGAATTTGATCTTTTTTCGGTTTGTGCAATAGGACTTCTGGTCCTCTTTTAACTTCCCCATACATGTTTGCCTGACCGGGGCATGTTTCAAAGCATAATACAATGCAGTGGGAGCTAAGCTTATCCAGTAATACACTCAGGACAAAGTTAATAATAGGTTACTAGCAGTGAGATGCATTTTTGTGTGTTGTGAGGAAGGGGTGGTCCCTAAATTCATTGTGTTTGACTCTAGACTAGGAGTTCCAAGAAGTAGACAAGAACCTAGCCTCCATTCCAGCCAAGGTTAAGTTCAAGAACGACTGTTTTGAACTTCATGCCCTTGAGTCCGTCCAGCCTCAACAGAATTTGAGAGGGATACCTAATGGGCTGTAAATGGAGGCATTGGACCTTGGAGTCTGATCAACACAGTCCTTGATGTCCCAAAGCCTTCCATTGCCCGACCAGGCACCGTAGGGAGGGCGTGTGTGATACCGTTGTGTTCCTACGCGCCTCCTTCCACTTCACCCACGTGTACAAATGTTTGTACCTCCCAGTCTTGAAGGGGGCCAGCCCCAGAGCTTGGGGTGGAGGGCCCTGCACTGCGTAACTCCAGGAGGTGACATGCACATTCTAGTCCGTGTGCACGGCATCCCCACAAGTCATGCGGTCCACAGCTGCTGGGGTGAAGTCATTCAGTCAGGAGTTCGGACGGACGGCCAGACGGGCAGCCACACACAGACATCAGTCCTCTCAGCTGTCTGAGACAGTTCCTTGTGAATGTGTCCATACTAAGCCTTCCTGGAACAGAGCAGACAGTGCCATTCTAAGGAAGAGCCCTGGGTCAGCAGGAGAGCTCTGTGGAGGGGTAGCTGGCTGATTCATGTCCCAGGAGGAATGCTGAAAGGCAACTTGGTACCTTCTCCCAGTAATCAGAGAGGAAGAACAAAGAGCTCCCATCCTCACCCTCAGGCACAGCTGGGACCTCACGGAAACCACATGTGTGGGATGGCCTGCATCTTTCCTTCCCAGGTCAGTGATAGGTCAGGAATGGCATTTGCTCTGCCTCAGCTGCGACTGTGAGACGTTTCCTACACCACAGGTCTAGGAGCTGAGCCATGTACCCAGGACACACACAGCCTTGGAAGGGTCATCAGTGCTGTTCACAATGGCAACAGCTCCACCTGGCTGCCCTGGGGTGAGATTCATATTCTGATTGGGGCAAAACCAGAATTGGGTTCCGGGTCTACTGAGGGTTGCAACAAAGACCAGACCAAGTAGAGTTATTTATCCAGAGGTGGTAGAACAGCTTTGCAAGGAAAGCAAAAGATGAGGCTGTGAGTGTCAGGTGTGACAGAGGAAGGAGGAAGATAAATCATGATGTGAGAAGGCAGGGGATTAGGAGCCAGGTGGGGAGCAGAGATAGGGCGAACAGGAGGCTCAGGCCTGAAGCTGTGAGCACTGCAAGAAGGCGAGGAGGCAGGGATGCTTCTGCAGGGTGTGAGTTCCCCAGTGTAGGGCCAGGCCGCTGGAGAGGGATCCAGTGCAGATACCTGCCTCTTTGGTCTCATTCCCCACCCCCCTCCGTGTGCAGCCTGCACCAGGTCTGAGCACACCGTGCTCTCTCCTGCTTCCCCGTCTTTCTCTCTGAGTGCCTTGGCCTCTTGTCTGTCTGCTCAGCTGGTCCCAGCTCTGTGAAGTATTTCCTGATCCTTCCCTCCCTATCACCCCAGCACAGTTAAGGGGACTTCCTGCCCTGTGTTCCCACAGTACCATCCAGAGACCTCATTATAGCAGCTATCACATTGCTATAATTATTATAAATGCCTGTCTCCCCTGCTAATCCCTGAGGTCCCTGGGGCAAGGGTCACGTTCCACCCCTTGCATGGGGCCTGACATATCATAGGCTTTCAAATAGTCAAGTGAATGAACTTTTTAAAAATTTCCTTGGATTCAGCTGAAAAGGCAATTGCAGTAATTTGAATTGTGCAATTTCTACTGTGTCGTCTTTGAAAAACAGTTTCACTTTTCCTCCTACTACAGATGACTCATTCCTGGGGCAAATAATGCATTTCAGAACTTCACTACAGCCAATCTTTTGAAAATCTTTTTGTGAGTGTTCGTGCCTAAAGACAAAAAACACGACGAGCTTTCGTAATCCCTCAACTGGGTTTTGAGTGATGGAATACTAGAGAGGTTTTGGAACCCCTTTGATTACTGCAAAGCATCCAAAGACGAATGGGTGGGTGGATAATGAAAATAACAATGCGAACATTGGCTCCATGTACTGAGCACTTAATAAATGGCAGTGAATGTTGGGCATTTGGCTATGTGTGGTGTCCCTTATCTCATTCAGCCCACGTACAGAACCTTACAACATGAGCATGATTGTCTGCATTCAGATGAGAAAACTGAGAATCAGAAAATGTAGGTAACTTTCAGGAAAGCGGCAGACATAGGATTTGAACTCAGGTCTATCTAATTCCAGAATGGTGCCATTTACAACAATGCCCTGTTTCTTCTAGCCTGAGTAAAGAAGTCATACACCGAAGATGGATGCCGATTTTTGACAAGACAGCGTGAAGGTAAGGCATTCCTGGAATTTTTTGTTTTAAGTGGACAGAGGTGAAGACAAACATCTGACCCCCATGACACACACATGGTACCCAGACACCTCCATCCAGCTGCCCCTCTCTGTGCACCCACACGTAAGGGCGTAAAGACCCTTTTCTGATAGGAGCAAAGATTCTCGCTCACTGCTTAATTACAACTTACTGCTCCTTGTTCCAGCAATACCATGGCAACAAGTAGCATTGGCACAGGAATCGAAAGGGAGAAGCGTTGCCTAGTAACAGAGTAGTAGAAAGAGCTTTAGGATTCTGGATGCTGAGTTCCAGTTCTGGTTCTGAGTACCTGGGGCACTGTGGGTAAACCCAACTCCTCTGAGCCTCAGTGTCTTGTCATCTGTAAAATGGGGATAATAGCAACAATCTTGGAGGGTGTTGCCATGACTGCATAAAAAACAAATCATTCCATGCATGTAGGATTACTGCCAGGATCATTATTTTAGGGAGAAAAACATTATGCACATGGATTAAATCAGAAAGGGAAATTTTTGAAGGACTTACTAGCTTATCTGACTTATTTTAGCTACTTTGTTATAAGGAATGTAAATTGATAGAAAATTTCTGGAAGGTCTTTAAGAACTATCAGTCAAAATTTAAATATGGGTACCCTTTGACTTGACGACTTCCCTCCTAGGAAATACCTGCACATGTTCATAAAGAGACATACAAGGCGAAAAACTGGAAACCACATAAAATGTGCACTAAAGAGGGACTACCATAGATCAACACGATGGAACATTGTGCAGAAGTTAAAAGAACAAGGCAGGTCTTGCTTCCCCACCATGGAGAGATTTCTAAAATATAAAGTTTAATGAAATGAAAGTAAGTCATAGATGCACATCCATCCACAAATATACTCATAAAAATGCATCTTGAAAAACCTGAAAGGATCTATAATAAATTGTTAACAGTAGTTACCAACTTCTTGCCGTTTCCAGAGTAGGCTGTAGATGTTTTGGCCTCCCTACTTTTTTTTTTTTTTTGCCATGCCTTGGGGCATGGAGGGATCTTAGTTCCCTGACTAGGGATGGAAACCTTGCTCCCTGCAGTGGAAGCTCAGAGTCTAACCACTGGACCGCCAAGGAAGTCCCAGCCTCCCTACTTTTGCATATGCCATTCTGTCGCCTAAAACGGTAGGCCTCCTTTCCACCTGTGAGCCCCCACTGGTCCCCAGAGTGTAGGTAAATATCATCTCTCTGAAGCCCTCCAGGTTCTACTGGTGGACTTCACATGTCCCTCCAGGGCTATATTGCTTATATCATGACACTGGCACTGTAATTATTTGCTTGTGCGTCTGACTCCCCGACTAGACTGTGAGCTCCTTGGGGAGCAGAATCACATCTCATTGTCTTGGTTACTCCAGGGCCTCCTCAGGTGTTTGGTAGCTCACTGAATTGAAACAAGTGGCTAAACATTAACAGAAATAAGAACAGCGGGTGAAGGCTTTGAGCCCCAGTTTTCTCAAAGCCACCATCCCAAGCCATGCCTTTGTGTCCATTCATAGCTCAGGAGGTGTGCTGTAGGAGAAAAGGAGAAAAAAGTCACGGATAGGGAGAGAGCTAGGTAGAAATTGCTTGAAATAAAAATTCCGAGGCATTGGTGTTCGCAAGCCATTCCGCAATCTGAACAGCAGGTGGCGCAAGTGACCTAGATTTCTCCGACCGACACCAAAGGAACCCACAAGGTAAGGTTTTGGAAAAATTGGGAAGTTGGAAGCATGAACATGAGCCTCTGTTTTCCCTGCCTTGCTGTGGCACAAGACATGAAAGCAGATTCAGTGTTCTCCCCTAGGATTTCAGTTCCTAGATATGTGGCTTTCCCGCCTCTGTTCTCCACCGTCTTCAATGCACCCTCGCTCAGTTTTGTTCTTTGAGAATGCACGGTTTCCATTTTCACCAGCGGCTGTGAATATTAGTAAAACCCATTTGAAGGGCAATTCGGCAATGCCTGTGAAAAGGAGAACACTTAGCTTAGAGAAGACAAGCAAGCACTCAAGATTTACTTAAATACTGCACTGCATTTATGGATGGGATGTTTGTCACTATTTGAATTTTTTCTGGGGGCAATTGATTAGTCAATTCTTTAAATGGTAGGTAAGCAAACAAGTCTCTGCTGACTATAATTAATGTTCACTTTTATATATTAATTAGGGTAGGTAGTTATTTTGGTAAATTTGGTAGTTATTGTTATAACTTTATGTAATGAATTTATTTATGGCAAACGCAGGCATGCAAGTGCATAATAGCTAGAAAGGCTAAATAAATACCATACTGTTGCTGGGGAGGGTTGTTATTTTTGTTTTCTGCAAAATACATTTATTATTTCAACAGATATTTATTAAACACATACTATTTATGCAAAAACTACTTATGGAGTAACTACCACATGCTAGGCACTGTTCTAGGTGCTAGAAATAAAATGCATCAGTGGCAAACAAATTCTCTGTCCTCGTGGAACTTTCGATCTAGTGAGGGAGATAGACAAATAAACATGTACATATATGGCAAGTGATTATAACTGCTCTGAAAAAGGATAAAGCTACCAAAAAATAAGAATGGTGGAAGCTGTTATTTTAGCTTGGGTGCTCAAGTTCTGTCTTTTGTGCTGGAGATTCAATGTTGATCAAAATCAGACATGATTTCTGCCCCCCATGGAATTCTAATGTCAGGGGGAGAGAAAGCCACTACTCAAATAATGACACATACAATTGTCTACTGCTATTAGTGTCATGAAGAAATACATGCATGGTGTTATGAAACCTCGTTAAAGGAAATTTGACCTCTTTGGGGAGGTCAGGACGGATTTCTCTGAGAACGTGATGCTTACGCTGAAGTAAGAAGATGCTTGCACTGCTTGAGGTAAAGCATAAGTAGAAGTTAACTAAGCCAGGAGTATAGAGACTATTCCAGGCGGCGGGAATAGCCATTCAAAGGCCCTGGGGCGAGAGGGAACAAGGGGGAATAAGGAAGGGAAAGAAAGCTAGAGAGGGGAGAATAGGATGAGGCGATAGATAAAAGGAAAACTATAGGCCATGTTCAGGGTTTTGTCATTGTTCTAAAAAGATGAAAAATTATCTGAGTTTTAAGCATATGGCAGCATAATGAGATGACTACTTCAAAAAGATGCCTACAGATGCTCTGTAGGGCCTGGACTCGAGGGACTCTGATTACACGTGGGATAGCCCAAACCATAGCAATAGTCCCTGCAAATGATAATGTTGACTTGGACTAGGGCAGTAAGTTGGAGATCAAGAGCAGTGGGTGGATTTGAGAAACTTTTAGGAGGGAAAAGAAATAGCCTTTGGCGATAAATTGGAGATAAGATGTACAAGATAAAGAGATACCAAAAATAACTCTGAGATTTCTGGCTTGTGTGATGAGATGAACAGTGGTGCTGTCCTCTAAGACAAAAAACACTGGAAGAGGACCACATGTAGGGGGTAAGACTTGGGGCCTGTTGATCGTGAGCTGCTTTTGAGACATCTGCATGGAAATATCAAGTCAAAGTTGGAGTTATGGGCCTGGAACTTAGAAGAAGAGGTCAAGTCTGAAGGTATAAGTTTCCATGTTCTTTACAGAGAACTGAAGTTGTGAGTAAGGATGTGCTCACCTAGGAAGAGGAACATTAACATTTGATGGTGAAAATGAGAAGGATAGACCTGCAAAGGGTACAGGGAAACCAGAGAAGAAACCAGGAGAATATTTTGTCTTTAAAGCCAAGGGAGGAGTGTTTTCAGAAGGAGTGAATGGTCCAGTGGGAGCCCCTGCTGAGAGGGCAAGTAAGACAAGGCTGGGAAAACGTTCCTTGGACATGATCACAAGGAGGTAATCGGTGACCTCAATGCGAGCTCTTCTGGTGGTGGGCAGCGCCAGCATCCTACCCTGAGTGACTGAAGGGGGAGTAGGGGAGTAAGGAAAATGGAGACATGAAGTAGAGACAACACTTTGGAGGAGCGTAACTGCGAAGGAAAAGAAAGAAATGGATGGGGCCGTGGAGTTGGAGCAGCCGTCCACGCAGATACTGAGGTCAACCAGGTATAAAGCAGAGACAGGGATGCAAAGGAAGACGATAAGCCAGGTGCTCAAGTCTCCAGTGGATGAGAGCTCGTGACTGTGGGCTGGATGACGACGGCAACAGGGAAGAGAGCAGTCTGGCTGAACAGCATGAACCTCAAAGGGTAGCATTTGGGAACAAGGACAGCGACAAACCTTCCAACCCTAAGACTGCGGGTGTGGAGGGCAAACAGCCACGACTGGAGAGGGGTGCAGGGTGTGTGGTGTCCCCGGGGCCGGCCAGCCTTCATTACTCAGAAGGAGGGGGAAGGAACACACAGAGGAAAAGTTGAAGAGCTTGGGTGGTTTGGTGGTTGTGGAACAAGCAATTCCTGAGGGCTCAGTCATAGGAGTTTGGGAGGTCAGGGGCTCGGTCAAAGGCAAGAAAGTCCAGGGCATGGTGGAAAGGATGGAACATTAGCAAAGTGATGGCTAGATAACTTATACTTGGGTTGATGACTAATTAAAACAGGGATCACCAATAGGGAGGATTTTGTATCAACTCTCCCTCTGAGGAGCACGGGCACCAGGTACTGGCTGCAGGTGCGGTGGACTGTTATCCCCTGAAGCTCTAGACAGATGGGCTGGTAACAGCTACAGGTTTGGTGACCACACACTGTCCAGCTTGGGTGACGGTAGACCCAGGAGAAGATAGAGGCACTGCAAGATAGAGGCACTGCTCAACCCGTTAGAGAAAAAACTCACCCTAAAACCTCACCATCTCACAAATCAGAGCTTTTTTTGTTTCTTAGCTTGCCTTCCTCCCAGATTTGCACTGACTTTTTATGGACTTACAACTTACTTACTACTTACTTACATGTAGTCTGAGACTTTGCCTTTTTCTCCTCTTAACATCAAGAATTCTCCACATTGTTCCATCTTTATCACAGTTAACCTTCAATATGA